CGGCCATCCTTGGGGGGGGGGGGTATGCTCAGGGCACACCCACAGCGGGGCTGCTCCAAAATTATGCCGTCATGTACACGAAGTGCGCGCCTGCTGTCCATGCTATGTGACGGCGACGTATAGTTGATGGGGGAGTCAGCAGCGATGGACAGCCCTCGATTTTGCCAGGCCGGTGATTCGGGGAGGAGAGAGAGGGGGAGAGAAGGAGGGAGAGAGGGAGACAGAGAGAAAGAGAGAAAGAGCGAGAGAGAGAAACGAGCCGTGGCACAGGCGACTTTTGGGAATGCAACCCGGTGGTAAAACAACGTCGCGCGGGGGAAGCAGCCCCGATCCGGCAATATCCTTGTACACGACTCGGTGTTTGCAAAGAGTCTTCTTAGGTCTAAATTCTACGCTATTCTGTGTGGTCGTCGATCAATCGAAAGACCGTTGGGTAGCATTGTTCAGCGTCGCGCGGGTAGGAGAGCTGGCCCGGGGGTTTTCCAAAACAAAGGGAGACGAAGGCCTTCCCTGAACTTAAAGCGAAGTATTCATATGTGTCAGTATGCACACCAGGTCTACGATACGGAGGCGACGTGCGCGTTGCACGCTCAGATTTGCAGCCGGAGCTGTGAAACATTGGAACCTTCCGCTACCAATATGTGGATTTAGGTCCAACGAAATCTCCGCGCAAATCTGGACCCAATGCCAAACATTACCACTCGCATGACCTTCACTGCAGTGTCGCGGGAGGGAAACTTTTTATTTTTATCTGGGTTTCCTCTCGGATTTTTAGAGGAATTAATGCATACTCCGTAAAACATCCGTGAAAGTGCATACAGCGGGGTGCCCTCTATAGTGCGGGATTGTGCCAAGCGCTTTCACCCGCACCATAGCTGGCACCCACGTTATATGCTGTCGGGCACTATTCAGAGTTCTCAGTATCATCAACGTATTCGCGATATCACTGGTATAGAGCACGTACAGGGTCAATCAGACGCCTATGCAGATGGCACAGTGGTGTACGCAACACGCGAAGGGGTAAAATATTTCGACGTGGTGTCTGCAGGATAGAAGCCTTCGTTCGTGTGTAAGACGAGAACACCACAGCATGTTGCGAACACTGCGTAGCGGTGATACCACATCCAAGAACAGAACACCGGATATACGTGGTCCATGACATGCTGCGCAATGTACGCTGCTGGTAGAAAAGGTGTGATGTTTCATTGTGTAATGTTCTCCTTGTACGTTATGAAATGTTCACAGGAAAATCTACCACTGGTACGAGGAAAGATCTGCAAAACGACCAACCTTGCCAAATCAGGAAACACGTCCGTCCACACAACTGTTCAAAGACAAAGAACTTTCAACGTGATCCAGAAGTCCAGACTCCCACAGATACGACAAGGAAAGGGGGAACACCCCAAAAACTAAATCAAGAGCACATCAACGAGGACACGGCCTAACCGCTTTCCCCACAAAACCCATCACTACACAACGCCACAACGTCTGCGGGGATGGATGGCAATGGGTGGGTTGCACGCATGCACGAAGAAACAAATCGGGGCGTAAACTGTACTGTAGCTTATTCAACGCATGCACTTCAGACTTCAGACACACACCCGATCGATGCATTCGGTACCAACAATAACGGTGCGGTACATGGTAGTTGCCTTGTGACCACGGAAGGCGTCCGCGTCAGTTGGACCAGTACCCCACATTAGAACGTACTGAGAGGAGACAGGAACGGTTTTTGCAGTAGAGTTAAAAACAACACCAACGCCATCATAAACAAAAACAACAACAAAAACAACAACAACAACCACAACTACAAAAAGACCTCAGAGAACGTGCGAAAAAATGCTGGTACTGCTGTGTGTGCCGGGAATTGTGCGGGTTTGACCCCCTCAGAAGGGTGGGATATCGGTACCCGCACTATTGAGGGTCTGGAAAGGGACAAAAGCCACACTATAGAGGGGTGCCCCGAATAGTGCGGCCCCCGCACTTTTGAGGGGTCTGAGTTGCGCCAGGCGATTTCACCCGCACTATAGCGGGCACCGGCACCATATGACCCGCACTATTGAGGGCACCCCACTGTAGTCTGCAATTAGAATGAAGAATCGAATCCTCTCTCAGAACAAGATATCATACATCAGTATTTTCGAGTCAGTTCTTCTCCTCAGATAGTATGGGATGTAAACAGTGGCATCACCTCCCGCAGGGGTTGGTGTTGCCACTTCGTAGCGAATGGAAAGAAATAAATATGGCTATGGGAAACAATCCTGTTTCCTGTCAAGCAGTAATAATACAGCGATCTATATTTATTTCTTTCCCATCCGCGACGATTGTATTTTCCGGAGAAAAAATTGACTGAAAATAGAAATAGAGAAATTCGAGAAAGATTCCAATAATCGTTGGGTGGGTGGGTGGTGTCTCAAAAAGGAGACTCTCCTTTCCTCTGTTTTCCTGTCTTGCACAGGTTTGACAAAAGGAAGTGAGAGTGTGTTCTTCCTCCTCCTTTGTTCTGGATCTTTACGTCTGGAGAATTCTTAAATCGTGCCTCTTTCTTCATTTCCTGTTTTGAGAATCCATCAGTATTTTCGAGTCAGTTCTTCTCCTCAGATAGTATGGGATGTAAACAGTGGCATCACCTCCCGCGGTCGGTGTATCCACTTCTCTCCCTTACTTAGGAAACTCACTCGAACAAGATGAGTTTTCTCATCCCATACTTTACTGATAGAAAACAGATGAATGTGGAGGCATTGAGGAGAGACCATGGCTGAAATAAGACCATTTAAATAAACAAACGAGACCACCTAAAGCAAAGGCTTATTGCTAAACGCTGACAACGATCGGCTCTGTTCACTCAAACCGAACTCATTCAACTGCCTGTATTGTTCCTCTGAAACTCCCTCGACCATGGCGGTACCCTCGGATCCTGGAGCCACTACTTCCATGAGTCGCATGTATCGCCAAGCAGTCTTTGGACTTTTCCAATATGCCTTCTGCATGATTGTCGATAGAGAATCTCCTGCGAGGGCTCTGGAAACCGCCCCTCCTGACCTAAAGGAGTGTAGAGAGAACCCTTGGGTCTCTCCTACTGCCGCGGCGTATCTCTTTAGTGCTTCAGACATCCTGCTAGTAGCCACCGGCAACTTGCCTCTCTGCGCTTCACCTTGCATAGACTCCGAAATGTCTGGGAAAAGGTAACCTGAGGTAGTGTCCCATCCGACCTGCTTCCCCACGGCTATAAACCTCTCTACCGCTCGAACTGGGCAGATTGCCACGTATTCCTCATCATACGGTACGGTCAGGATATGATCCGCTCCATCCCGTTGGGTTTTTCCCCACTGAAAATTGCACATGAGGCCGCTTCGATTTGGGAGTCGCAAAATACGTTGGATGAGGATATTTGTGAGCTCCACTCCTCTCTTGGTTGTGCTAAAAGCCACCGAAAAGAACGCAATGTCCCTAGCCAACGTAACCCGTTCGACGTCGGATGAGGCGTATTTAAGCCTGATCTGCATTGGAAAAATAATCTTCTCCAGATGGCTTCGAAGAATGACCGGTGCTTGTTTCACCAATACTCCCGCCTGCTTTTGCTCACTTGTGGTGAACGCCATATATTGCGCAACTAGCTCGCTTTTCACCGGGTTACCAACCCGCATGGTCTTGCTCCACGGTGTCACCACTCCCATTTCCTTCTCGAACACCATGGATAACTTGGAGACATGATTTGTTCGGAGAGAGTCAAAGGCGTATCTAAGGCTACATTCTCCCTTGTCTGTTGAACAAGCTGTAAGATCTTTGGTGCCCACGGCTTCGCAGTGTTTAGCATGCACGATTGTACGCCGTCTTGAACCGCAGGAGTCTAACCAGCACAGGAACTCTACCACATCCTTTGGTTGTGCATTTTCAATAGACACAGACCCGTTCCTTCGAGATGCTAGGAAGTTGCTGAACAAAGCCCATGTGGCCGACCGACTGCGCGCGGAAGCTTTCTCCGCCCATGCATTTAGAAATTGTTGGTATCGCCTTGAAATAGCCTCTTCGTCCACTTGAAGAGGAGGTGTTGTCCGAGGTTGGTGCTGGGCTATTGAGTACCCGCACCATTGACAGAACCGAAACGAATCATCGTTTTCACTGTGGCACTCCGGGCATAAGACCCGTGCCCGCGATGCTGACACCTTCACGAGCGGCGGAGGAGGAAGCTTCGCCTCGCCGAGACGATCTCGCTTGGGAATTATCGCCTCTAAGATGCTCACGATGAGGCCAAGGGCTGTGAACACAGCCTGGAGAGCCTGGTAAAGAATGCGTTGTCCCACAAACCACCGAACATGAACAGGAGACACGTTGAGAACGAGCCGAACGAACTCTTCATCACTTAGCATTCCGGGCGAAATCCACTACCACAGCTAGCATTCCTGACCGTTTGAAATGAAAACGCTCGGACCCTTTCTGGTGGTGTACCCGGAAAAAGGGTGACTCACCCCCGCTACCGATCGACAACGTCCGTGATCG